TAATCCTAACACTAACCATATAGTAAGTACATGTAGTTAATTAATATTACTCAGTACTTAAATGTATAATTACACTGTAACAAGGACACCTTAAAATAAAGTGTAACCGATCTAATATATTTGGTCAAAATTCCTTGTTATAAAAGATTAAGTGCTATTTAAGACAATATTGGCTGATTAGATGGCAATGCTGACCTAAAATTAAAAATGTTTGCCCTCTCTCTCTTCACCGTTCCCGCATCTTAGACCTCAAATACATAAAATATTACTCTTTTTAGACATAGTTATTGAAGTAAAGAGTAAAGAAAATACTATACAAAACTTATTGAAACAACCAGTTCTTTATTTACCCTTGTAAGACCCCCCCACCCTCATAAAAACACTTTCTCATTGGATCTAAGCTAATCTCATAGGTGACATATTTTAATCTCAAAAAAGTGAGTTGTCACTGAAAGTTGAGGTGTTTGCATATATAGATATTTAGTTTTTCTGCGGTACATATTGCGATATGAAAAAAAACACCATATGACTTGAAAAGCTCTATTTAGGAAAATAAAATAAAATCAATGATTGGGGTGATTTTGTAGGCGAGTAAACCAGCATAGAAAATAAACAAACTACAAGCATAGATAAATAACAAAGATACAAATGAAATAAACAGTGCTTTGTTATATTTTTCAGGTAAGTCTAACAGTATTCAGTTACAGAAATTGAATAATCAAATATAAAATGACACTGCATAGTCTTCACTGTATACATTAAATCTAATAAATCTGTTAACTTTTCTCTGTTTTGTTGATTGATTAACATTCAAGACACAGAAAGCCTCTGGAACATTAAACTGCTGTGAACCAATATACTGTTACACATCCATTTTCTTTCTCAAGTGTTTACCTTCACCTGAGCCATAAGCAACTGTGTTTACAAGGGTACTTGCAGAAACATGCATTTTGACAAATTTGCGCGTAAGTGTCATTTCAGGAACAAATAAGACACGGAAGCAAACGGAATTCAGTGTTCATGTGCATCTCACCGTGTCTACACCGGACCACAAAACACTACAGAACCCATTATAATCAGTGATGCTGTCTACACTGGATGCTGCGCGACGCGACAAATCCCCGACAGTAAACTGATGCCGATGAGTGTCCGATGCAGAACTGATAGATCGTGCAGCTCTATTTGAAACGACGAATAATGTCTGTTCATACAGAACCAATGCATACAAGAAAAGAGACAGAGAGAATGTAAACAGGCTTAACAACAAGACTGTGGAGTTGCCTGAACAACTAGCTGACTAGCTGGTCTAGTGACTAGTAACTCTGGTATAATGGGGCTGCTTTAGGGTCATTTATGAACACTAAACCTTAACGGTCAGCATATAAATATACTAAATTATCCAGATTGTTTTATTGCACAAAACTACCAGAATCACATAAATAGACAAGTGGATTCAGTATAGTACAAAGTAAGTGCAATGAGATGTATTGTTGAATTTGTTACACAAGAGCTGATTTGATGGATGTAGTTTCGAAGATTTTCCTTTAAAAAAATTAAAAATAAATAATAATAATTTAAATTAATATAGTAATACAAATATTATTATTAAATATTATTAATATTATTATTAAAACACATACACACAGACATGTTTTAATTATCACAACAATAATAATATTACAAATATATTAAGTTATTCAAAAAATATGAAATACTGTACAGATTTGAAAGTACTTTTTAATATTTAATTTAAATGATCAATATATTAAGATATTATTAATACTAGAATATTAGTATTAATATTGTTATAATTATTAAACTATTTAATACACACATACACTTATATTAGTTTCAATAATGACTATAACAATAATAATATAAAAATATTAACATTAATAATATTATATAATAATATTAACATTGTTGTTGTCACGCCCCTGGACGTTCTGTGCTCCTGTTTCATTGTGTTTTCCTTCCCAATGTGCTCCGTGACCTAGTTTTCCCTCATGTTTGATTGTCATTCCATTCACCTGTGTTCCCTTAATTATCCTCATTAGTTCCTTGTTACTTAAGCCCAGTGTTCCCTGTGTCTAGTGTTCGTTGTCGTCTGTTATAGTGATTGTGTTTTCCCAGTTCTCCGAGTTTCTGTTAAGAATAAATGTGGTTTCCTTATCCTGCTCCTGCGTCGTGCTCGTCACAGCAGCAACTCGTGACAGTTGTTTGATTAAAGATTTTTATTAGATTTTTTTTATTTTATTATCAAAAAAATATTACAAGTATTTAAAAAGTAACTGAATATTTGGTTGGTGGGCGACTAGTTGGCCATCCTGACCAATCCCTAAATGAGAGAGAGAGTGTGTTGTGATTGTGTAAGTGAGAGGGTGTTTGGACAGCTGAAAACCAACCTCCGTAATCACAGCAGAA